TTTCAGCTGTTACTTGATACTGTCTTCCGTTGAATGTCCGTGTAATGTTATGTTTGCATGGTAAAGCCAACACAAATTTGACACTTTTGGCCATTTCACCTTGCTAAAACTACTGATTGTTATAATTCACAAACGTAAGAAAACGCATTTCTATTGATATTGCGGTAGTTTCCCACTTTGTTTGCTTAACTGCGGGCTCCGTTCTACAACCATATGGGCAAGGCAGACTGGTCATTTACGTAGGGATACGTTGCTGCAGCTGTTATTTTTTTACTCGTTCAATTTAAAATTACATATACACAGAAGCTCGACAGCACGAAAGATATTTTACATATGTTCAAAACTAAAAATGGCTTTTGCGCGCTAGTCAGTTCCGTGTCATCCCATATAATTTTCCGAACGACGAAGCAATTTCGGTTCATTGAAACGAAGAATTGCCTGTTTGCGTTAGGACTGCATTTGGTGGCATGAAATCGCACAGATATGCTAAGCGGACTTTTAATAATCGATAGAACTGATGGTTTTCTGGAAATAAACTGTGTGTTCTCCACTTCATTCCCACTGATAGCACCACATAAAACCACTTTTAAAGTGCAGCAAGCTCTGCTTAGTTGATCTCTCGGACCTAAATTGCTCCCCGTTCCGATAAGCTGTCAAAATCTGGGACTGATATTAGCAAAAGAGAGTGCTGGAATGTATCGCAACGTCCATTTTCACTCGTATAGCCCCTTTAACATAGTGCCCTTTTCTTATGCAGATAATGTGTCTATACAGCTTTTTCAAGGCAAATGTGATCATTGGCCTTGAAAAGGCTGTATAGACACATTATCTGCATAAGAAATGGGCATTGGCTTAAAGAAGCTGGACGAGTGAGCAAAATGCGCAATGTTTGTGGTGTCCGAAAATGGTCACATCAAATTCTTTCATTAATCTTCATGAGTTAGGCCACGTACTGGACATCAGCGGCCAAGTCGGACGTCCGTCCTCAACATAATTGCCAGAACTTCGCCGAAGTAAAGCACGATTAATGATAACCTTAAGAATGGGGATTTCCGAACAACTGAAGGTTGTATATGTGGAAGTCAAACTGCCTTTTTGGAATAGCTGTCAGTCAATCTGTGAATTTCAAGCAATAGTCTTTAAGGCCTTGCAGATGAGATAATTGGAGTAATGGGAACCGGATACTGCGACTGCCCTTCCGTTTGCAGAAGAGGGCGCATAGGTACTCCTTAATGCATGCAATAATGTGAAGTGTCATGGCGGTATGGACTGGAAAGGAGACCTTCAACTTGAAATGTGTGTAGGACTACACAGGGTGCAACCCTGGACGCCACGAAGCCACCGATGTTTAAATATAGACAATACTTATTAAAATTTAAATTGCAAGGAACTCTATGTGTGCATCTGATCACTTTGGACAAAAGTGTTTGCTTCAGGGTCCATTCTTCGTATGCTCATCTCAAGAAAGTTTGAGTATGGTAGCATTCCTCCACTTTTTCCTTCACGATCACAACCTATTTATTTATGCTAAGTGCGATTTGCTTTTTAATTACTGTAAACGCAAACATTTCGTCAGCGATCCCATATACGGTGCAATTTATTATCTAGGCTGCTCTTCTGTTGCTGGATTTAGCATGCGTGGGTCGAGGCGGCTTTCAGGAAAGTGGCAATTCATTTTATTTCTAATACCTAGTTATTCGCTCAGCATCCATTGGTTTATTTAAGTAAGGAAAGGTGTGCATACAAGCTCTCCTTACATGTATCGGTATTTCCTCTAAGTCTAGTAATTTTTCTCTGCTAATGCTCAGTCTAATGACGGTAATTATCAGATATAGGAAGAGTTGCTTAAATCGTCTGCAGAGTATCTAAGACTCAGGTAGAGTTCATTTTAAAATTCACGAGCATGCACGCATCTACGGTTGTCGCATCTATACGCATCACCTGATTCTGACTTTCAAGAAACTAAACAGAAGAGCAGTCGGACTTTCTACTCGAACTACCAGGGCACATAGTCGATGGGCGATGCTTGAGTAAATCCTTCATCTTGTTGTTTCGACATTGTGCCCTTCGGTGACGTAAGCCTATTTTTTCTAGAAGATGACATATCTGTGCATTCAAAGTAAAGGTGGTTGACGGGAGTCTATGATTACTTCTCACAACGTGCTTCACACTTCGAAGAGCAGATATATGTATATGGGGTTTTTTGAGATTTTGTTGTTTCTACTGATCAAAAAAACGTCAGAATTCTCAACTGCGGGAGAAGTAGGAAGGCCTGTGTAAAGCCAAACTTCCAGACCCCGTGACATACGAGGTACCAACTGATAGAGATTTTTGTATCTGGGTTATATTCTTGACAGAGACTATGTCATGTAGTTACGCAACCAATTCCAAGACAGCATGTTTTCGACAACAGCCAATTTAGAATATACTAGAAGCATCTTTCAGTATGGGAGAGTTGAATAATTCACTGAGTAAGTTTGCTGAGACGTTACCTATGCGAGATTGTTGGTCCAGGCAGCGTTTACTAGGTGGTTAGATTGTCGGCTGAATTCATGACTTATCCTCTCACTAGCGGCCCGGAATCCTGCCGATGCTTCGGTGTTTTTTTAATTGTCCGTTAAAAATTAACTCCGGCATGTCTTACTCTCCGAACTTTTATCGCTCATGGCGGGCTTCTGATGAATCGGCCCTGATATTTTGATCCGGCGACAGCGGCAGGCACGGTGAACTGCGCTTGAATTACTTTATAGTGATAGAAGACTTGCGCAGCGTCAACGGCATTCTCTCTTTCCCACTCCCCACCTGGACCTGGTGTCAAGACAGCGTCAAGAAGAACGGAGACGGGCAGGACTCGGGTGGCTGGCACGTTTGTGTCCGCACCTTAGCGCTCCACGCCACACCCCCTTGTCCACACAGCAAATGACCAGGTTTTCTGACCAAGCACGGCAACAACACCCAAGAGAGGTCAGCCACACGCACGCACACACACTCACACACGACAAATCGACCGTCGCATCTGACAAGGTCCACCGTGTGCTCCACAGCAGGGTGGTGACTTGTGCGAAAAGTTAGTTTATTGTGATAGTAGACAGCCTAAATTTCTGTCGCGTGCCCGCTGTTTCGGTGACTTTTTTCCCACTGATAGCACCCTGCATGACTTTAAGTACTTTGGAAGTGGAGGATCTGCTAGGCAACAATGGTGTAATTAAACAGCAGATTATGGTGTTCGATGGTGGCATCTCCCAGGATACCCTATACCGTTTTTGTGAGACGACTTCATTAAAGATTTTGCTAGGCTACATATTTTCTGACTACCGCGTGACAGATGTGGGTTAGCGTAATCTTATGGATGTGCCAGTGGCCCTGATAGGAGGTGACGTCTCGAAAAAACTGATCCGCCCCCCTGTCCCTAACATCAGACCTTGCATTAGCACCACGTGTTTCATAGTCGACAGAAGGGAATCACATCATGCAAACTACCTGCTGAGTCACATTTCACCCGTCCACGAGGACTACTATCTGAGTATTTTCACATCTTACCCGAACACAGCACAAACGAATGACGGCATCAAGACTAACGGTACCGTAGCCTACAAAGTTAAGCTCAGATTTACTCCCGCTACCTTTGCGATCGTGCCTCACAGTTTAATTCGTAGAGGTAACTTCGTCCAACGCTGGTTCACCAGCTTTGCCCGGCAACAGCGACTTGTGCGTAAATGTGTTTATGCTGAAACAGACTTACGCTACACCTTCCTCATTACGCCACAACACCCGTGGTGCCGGATAGGATAACAAAGTCAAATTAGCATTGGGCGCAATGGCGGACAATTTCGAACAGTTCGCCGCCCGCGTGACACCCACACAAACAGCATCCTACACATTTTCTGTACCAACCGCATTAAGTAAGTGTCGGATGTCGCAGAGCTTTGAATGTCATAAACGCCGCAATAAGAGTGAGTCCTTGCATACTGCCACGCAGCCTCGAGGAACTCCAAGCTGGCCCATCAGCTGACAACCTTCCAAGCCACTACTTTTACAGCGACAGCCTTCTTATAACTAGGGATGCCCTGATTTGTCATGAGGATGCAGTTTCCAGCGTCGACACCAAGCCCACTTATGCTCATAACTATGCGTACATCGACAAGACAATGAACTTTCCCATGTATCTCGTTTAAACCTGACTTTGCATCCTGGACCTCAATCCCATTAAGGATTTAATCGCTCCTTCAGTTGACGACCACGCAAGCCATGACAATAAGCACTGTCAGAGGTCCTACGGTGCGTCATATTGTCCACTGCGTCAGCGCAGACTAAATCACATATTACATTGCCTACGCCCTATTAGTAAAACCGATTCGATGTGGTTTGGTGGCCCCGCCTGAAGTTAGAAAACACCAGTCACCTCTATCAGGAGATCGATTTGTAATAGGGTTTTTACAGGTGGAGCCGGGGAATGCACAGGCGACGAGGTCAGGTAGTTGTATGCAAAAGAAAAGCTAGTGGGAATGCGCGGTTGTACCCCTAACCCTAACGCCTAACTCTAATCCCCTAATCCTAAACCCTAATCCTAACCCCTGACCAAATCTCTTTAGCATAGTCCCAACAGTATCGTGTCCATCAGGTGGTGCTACCGAGCCACATCTTGCCTTAAAAACTCCAAGGACACACGCCTTAATTAACGCCATTTGAATCCTCAGCTAACCCGCATTGCGCATCCCGTCTGCTACAGCAAGCTTTAATCACTCAGCGACAATCATTCAGAAATAATTCCACGCCATCGGTTTCGAACAAACATAATTTAATAGGCTGAACATACACGTCTATTATAGGACTCTGCTTATTGGGTAAGTTAGAGAAATTTAACACCTATCACCGCACGAACGTAAGCATCGTTGGTAATGAAATAGTTTATGATCAATTTGTTGGCCAGAAACGACGTAAATAGGCAATGGAGTCATTTAATGCCCGTCCGCCTTGTATCTTTGCTTACGTTCATCGCGCTACACTGACTGCTGAACTTTAGAAGCAGATGGGGCAGGTTTAAGACCAAGAACAGATGTGTCATTTTCTTCGGCATCAACGTTGACGTTGAGCACACTCCTCCGTCTGCGACGAACTACCAAGAGGTAGATTCCCATTGCCAGCGCCATCAAGGAAAGAATTCCACACACCGTCACGACGACTGCGGCTGGCGAAAATTCCGCCTTTTGAGGGGTTTCTGAAGAAAAAGATTCCTTAAAAATAGGGGTCACAAAATGCAAAAAACGACATGCGATCCACCCTCAGGAAGGAACAATCGGAGTGTGTTTCCCTTCATTACTTCAGGAAGCATCTCTCATATTTTAAATGCAGAATGGTCTCACTACTTGGAACTTATTAGTAGTTTACTTTTTTCTCATGAAGTACAGGACAGTGGGATTTAAATTGAAGGAGTCTTGGGAATATGCCGTGTGCCTAATCTTGATGGTCGACATTCATTTCGGTTTTGCCTTCCTCATAGTCCGCAGAACCCACAAAGCCGTGATGCTGTTGGACTTACTAACACGGTCACTGCGATAGTATTCACTTTTTAAAGTAATTTTGTTGGCGGGAACTGGCAAAAAATAGAGACAATACGCCTGTGAATTCCACGAAATAAATTTTCAGTAATTTGTACTCCAAACAAATTCCGAATCGAACCATTTCTTGGCAACATTGTATTTTACCTGCGAGTATCAATTTTATAGAGGTTAGCGTGTCCGACTTTCCGCCCACACAATTTCTTCGGCGGACTTTCGTAATAACGGAAGAATGTGAATTGTGTTCCCTCTCTAAGACGCATCAGGATGCTCATCAGCATTTGTCTTTCAAATACCGACCTTTTTCTTGCTTGTTTTTATGAAGGCGAAGTGTGAGAATTTTATATGTCTATCCTCGACACGTAAATTCCACTATCTTAACTACTAAGTATATCGCAGATGACTTGTTCACTTAAAGCTTGGTAGTTCGCGCTACTTTAGCTGGGTTTAAAGGCAGATAAAATTACCCTATGAGGTTCATTCTTACCGACGCTTGATTGTGTTTGAAGTTCCGTGAATTTTGTCCCCACATAGTCCAGCTTTGTATATACGCGATTCGAATCACTAAAAGGAAATCAGACATATTTGTAAGGAAAGAAATTGGAGCAAAACGTCTGTACAAACGGCGGATACCTGCGATTTGATTTCACCTCCAGGGGACCGTTAATATTATAATCCGATTGAACCTTTCTCCCATTTAAGCCAAAGAAAAAGGGAATATACGGCATAGCCGAACGAACATCAAAGATGTAGAGGGCAGTTGACAGTGCAAGTAGAGAAATTATGCCAGCGACTGCGATGGCGATTGCTACCGATGAGGAAGTCTCCTCTCGAATTGTCTCTAAAAGGAAAAGCCAAAGGCTAGAGTGGGTTGCGGAAAGCTCGTACAACGCAGTAATTTTCGGTTACTGCAGGCCTTGGCGTAAAAAATCACAGTTCTGAAGCAATCGAATTTTAAAATCATTTAACTGTCTATCATCAAAAAGAGACATAAACATGTCCTACTCTAAAAACAAACTCATTAGTTAAAAGTCACTTCAATTCAGCTGAGAGAAACAAACGATTAAGGAGATGGTCATTTGGTTGTCCAACTCTACTCATTGTTTGATTGATAATGCATCATTACCAATACAAGCGATGATAACAGTTCCAGGAACTAGTAAATAAGAACTACAAGCGGTCGCTGGAATAAGGTTTTAATTCGCCTGACTTTTCGGATTCTCACTTGAATCCATCATCAGAGACAATGACGGAAACATGTGCTTCGTGCACAGGAAGTTGCAGTATTTATAACCCTACAAAATACCTATGCGTTTTAGCCGACGCGTCATTGGCAAACTATTTATTTCGAATGTGGCGGGTTTATGAAGAACAACTTCCGCAGAAAACCACACGGAATGGCGTGAATAATAGCCTGAGGGTAATGTATGGTCTAGCTCGCAGATATACCACGGGAGAAGTAGGCATAAATTGAATATAAAGGAAAAGAATGAGAATAGTTAGGATGTTTTTGCCTCCAGATGAAGTTTTTTAAAAATTTTACTCGGATACACACCCTACTGATCCATAGGCTTTTACTTTGTAATATTGGTGAACGGTAGCATGAAAACAAAAAGTTTGCTCGAAACGAATGAATACGTTTGCAGTCATGTTTTGACGAGTTGTTTCCTCTGCTTTGTCTGTCTTCGTAGAGCGAAGCAGAGGAATTCAAATAACATACCTCGGATATTTTTCTTTTACGTATACTCATAAGGGGATGCCTAATATCCCCTTTGAACTTCAGTGAACTCAGAGCCTAATCTACTGTGCTTGATCCATGTATTGTGGGTTGCAGGGCAGCTGCCTAACAACGGTCATACCTTCTTCAGTTGATTCGAATGGGACTGCAGTACCGATTCCACTTAAATTGTCATGGGGACCAGAGAGGTTTGTCTCTGTGATATTTCCGTGTGATCCGGCGGGACCCTCCTCGTCAATTACGTAATTTGGATCGGTGGCCTTTGCTCCTACTATAGTTTCCTCAGTGGCGCCGAGGCCAGCTAGGGATTTAATTGAATCTAAATAAAGACAAAGGTAGATAGCCGGTTAGTTTATATTTTAGAATGTGAATAATGACGAATATGTTTTCTGCATTGACCATACCTTTGCAAACGTCAGTTCCGATTGGACCCAAAGCATACGATTTATGCTAAAGGCCCAACTCCATTTATACAACCATATTATGTGTGCTGGACTTTGGGCTCGAGATTTTGTCATGATGGTGGCAAAACCAATAAAATCAGAACCTGCAGAAAATAGACTGCCAAGAAAGACAAGGGAGACTGAAATGACAGTTTCCAGCTTATTGACCGTCGTCACCCAGCCATGACCAACCCGAAGTTTTAGCACCTGGGATTCGAACCCGAGACATTTGGTCATTGAGTTGGACACTGTTTCATTGAGCCACATGCCCTGTTATCTTGTCAGTTGCAAACGAGGATATGAAGTTGCTGTAAAAACGCCCACCGACCGGGTTATGGGCTACATCCGTCTCCTGCCACATATATGACTTGCTGCTCTGCGGCTGCCTGATCAAGTCTCAAGATAGAAAGGAGGAGCAGACCCGGTTACTCGATTACTAAGCGCCTTTCCAAAAAACCCAGTATCGTTTCTTACGCATACAAGCGCAGCGCGACTCACCAAGTTCACCTAAGCCCGCTTAATACAGTTCCGCCTATTATTAAAACATTCGGTAAGTAAGTAACCCATAAGTAGCCATCATGTTTAACAAATAACTGTTTATTGCGAAGTTTCTCTCTACTAAGCTATCTGAACTTCATTACGTACTAAGAAGTCAAAAATCCAAAACATTTTAGCCGATTTCAACAACAAAGGCGGTGTCTAATTTTACTATTTGAGGGAGTGAATGCGATTCCGAAGAGCCGACGATACTTGCGAATGGACGATGTCATTTGCGGTTCTCTATGCTTCTGTGTAAGACATCCCTGGATGCTTATTTTCCAGATCCCATGCAACGACTCCGCCCGTATTTCAAGGTTGAATTTGGTGAAACTTGCCATAAGCTGACCGGTGGGCTTCCATTTTTATTAGGTAGTCTACCCTATTACAAACAACAGCGCAACGGAACCGTGGCTCACTGGCAGACCGACGAATCATTTGTCCTCCGTAGGTTGAAGATCCTAAGTTCGAGTCTCAGGTTTTCCATGGCAGGGCTGATAAATCAGAAATGATAATAGTTAGCTTCCTTGTCTTTGTCGGTAGCACATAATTGCACATTCTACTACTTGCTATTCAACTTCCTGGTAGGTTTCTGGATTGGGTTAGCAGCGGTAGGGTAAAAGATCCCGAATAAATGTTAGTAGATCTTGACTCCCGTCGTACGGGGATGGTGACGACGGGGTTTTCTGGGTGGGGCAGCACGCCAGACAGTAAAATGAAGAATTACAAGAAAATACAGAAATTGTCTGGATTTCTGGCGAAAGTCCTGCCCTACGGTTTCGCGCAGCAACGAAAACGAGCGCGGTGTTTTAAAAACTAGACAAATTCTAGAAAATAACAGAGTTGAAGCAATTATTTGAGGCCACTGGTAGTATTTGTTGCCGGCGGTACAATTTGGGCTGCGGCTCGCAAATGAATACTACGATCAAAACCACATACGGCAAGATACACACTTTACTGACACTCAAGTGGTGTCCTTAAACATATCGTTGTCAAGCTTTAAGACACAAAAGAATGAGTACGGCCCGTAACCTGCACTATGTGTAAGAAGTCCATAATCTTAAATATCAGTGGGGGTTTTCGAAGTCAAGCAGTCACGACATGACCTAGGCAGAATGGTATTACCGACAAAGACAAGGGAGACTGGAATAGCCATTTCTGGCTTATTAGCCGTCGTCAGCCAGCCATACCCAAGCCCGAAGTGTGGAACACCCGAGCCTCGAACTCGCGACCTGTTGGTTTAGAAGTCAACGCCTCTACTCACCGGGCCACGAGCTCGTTGCCTTGTCGGTTTTCGATCGGGAATATACAGTGTTAGGGGGCGCTCACCTATCGTTCATACGGAACTCACTCGTTCCGTTGTGCCCCTAAGTTACCAATCAAAACTTGGTGACGCAAATCCTACGGCTTCGGTTCCCAGACAAGCCGCCCTTCTTTCACACCTAGCTTAAAATATATTAATACTTTTATACCTCGCGTCGAACAATAAAACCTCATTACCTGGGTGCTTAATTTTAAGTCGTGCATTTAATAAACTACTATTTTTACATTAAGTTGAAGTTCAGATGTCGGAATTCGCACAAAAACCAAATAAGGATACACGTAATAGCCAGACCACTCTTACTTTCCTCATGCATCGACCGAGGCATCTGGAGTGTTGCAAGTATGTACAACTGACTGTCATATCCCTATCTAATATTCTCGGTTGCAACCGACAACACAAAGGATTCGTGACTCATTACTAGAATGCTGGACATGAAAACCTTCAATCTGTTAAGAATCCGGGTTCGAATCTTGGGCCATACAAACATGGCTCAGTGACCTTATCCAGTAAGCCGGAATTGGCTATCCAGCTCTTTTACCTGACATGATAGCGATCGCGATGAACGTACCTAGAAGATCTGTGAGTCAAACCCCAAGGTTCAACGGGGTGAGATTGTCCTGCAAACTGATCGGTGAACGTTGCCGCAAGGCCATAATCGAACAAAACGCAAAAGGCTTGTTGGAAAATCCCAGATATACTCGTGGCTTTCTTCAGGCTGGCTGCACTATCCCTTAGAATGAACGAAAGCTATAATGCGTCAGAAATAAACATAGCACATGCATCTTATCATCGTCTAATAATGCCCTAGTATTTAGAGGATTGTATCAACTTTGTACGTTAAAGGAAAGGCACACCCTGAATCCCTACTCAAGTCGCCGAATGTAAATTATGATGGATTATTTCAGAATTAAGGTCGGCAAATTGGATGGTTCCTCGTATTTTGGATCAGTCCAGCTCCATGCGAAACGGAATAAATTATACTCAACTTATTAATAAACTAATGCCATTTACAGCTTTTTGAGCTATGTTAAAATCTTTCGCTCTCAAGACACTCGTAAATAATTATTTATCAGACTGTTTAGACAACAGAAACTTGAGCCGACGTTTCGCGATTCGAGAAAATAAACGGCGGATTTCAGCGAATTTGTTCAAACTTGAGCTCCTCATTTTTGACCAGTGCGACTTCAATTCGGGGTGGAGTAAATGAAATTAGATCTTAGATGGCGCCTTCTGTGATCTGAAAAATAGAGAGTATTCTAACATGCTGCAGCAGACCTTTTAAGTAGTAGGCCATGATGCCTGTTCACAGATGACAAAATATCGTACAGTACAGTTACATTTATTTGGACCTTCCAGCTACAAAACGGCCATTTGCGGTCACTTATGCCTTCCGGGAATGTCTGTACGGATACTCTAAAACAACATAACAAGGAAAGCCGGTGTGTCTTGAAACATCGTGTACTGGGGTAAGTTGCATTTGATCCGGCCGATCCTCATGCATGGTTAAAGTTACTACGGCCTCGAGGTGATTTCCGATTCTAGAAGACTTTATTTAGATTGCCTTAATTTCAATAAGCTCAAATTCATTTAATTGCCTTTTAAATTCCTTTTTATTGTCCTGAATTCATTTATCATTATTTAGGCGTAGTTGGACGTGAATAAGCGTATCACCGCCCCCGAACTATTACGCAAGGTCGTAAGCAAAAAGAAATTGTGGTATTATAAACCCTATTGGAAAGAAGATGAGGGCAATATCGCATTTGCATAAGCTTCTTGCTTTAATGCATTCAAAAATCAAATATCCGGTCCAATCTAAAACTCTTATTAAAGCTCCTGCCTCCGCCTTCTTCCTTTCACAACGGAAAGTTAAACTTCGATAGCAGTATACATGCCCTCAAACCCCTAAGAAAAGTTCCATTATTTGAAACAGTGCATTGAGGATTAAGCCTTGAGATTTGGCACACACTGGCTTACTTGAGGTCCGAAGTTGAACTGTGACATTAGTTTTCTCGCCCTCAAGAACTGTAACTGCAGCGACGGAGACCTGGTAAACGTGAGTGAAGTCGAATGCCTCCTTGAAGGTGACGTAGGTGTCCTCAATCATCTTGTCGCTGACTACACGGTGCGAAGTCATGTCCATCAATTGAACGGCATATTTTCTGATAATCCCGTTATACACGAGGGGAGAGCTCCAGGAGCAGGCAAGTCTGGGCGATCCAGGTGGCGTGTGAATGCAGCTGAGTAGCTGAACGGCACCTGGGGCTGCAGGACAGATAAATAAACATGGAAGGTTGAAGATATGTTTGTTTGGGTGACGGAAGGCTTGATATAACGAAGATGTCGACCGGAGTTATCTGGTAGCTTTCAGAGCCATGTTTAAGACAATCTGTCTGACAGTTACCTGGAAAAATAAAAGAATGTCCGACGCAGGCACATACTGATTTCTGGACCAACGTCGGTTTCGTTTCGACTAAAAATTAGATTTTTCGTACATCAAAAAGGCGCCAGAATTTAAACTTATTAGTTCTTTTGCATTAAGAGTAGGGAAGTGCCCGAAAAACCAGTTCAACCGCATCACCCAAACGAGAATACTGTTTACCCTTAATCTTTACATAGTGCCGATTTTGGGATCGAATGTCGTAGCTAAAATAACGTGATCTAAATTTTGCTCTTAAACTAAATCACAATCGATACATTAACATTTGAATAGAATACAAAAATCTTGCGGCATATTTGAGATGTAGCACTTTAAACTATAAAGTTTTACAAAACCCTTGTTTATTATAGTGGGGAGATTTTCAGTGAAAAGGACAATAAAGTCACTTTAACTCAATAAATTTCCATTCTCTATCATAGGACGACCCAAACACATCACATTTGCCTGGTACATGTCATCGTCCCTAGCCAGCCGTCTTCTCTTGGCTCCCTTGAATTGTACCCGTACAAGGTCTCCGCACATTCATCCTAATGGTGCACAGTATGGCATAGAAATAACGGGACCATATAAATGTGAAATTATCTGCACTTCTGTTTGCACACGAAATTGTTTTTAAGGTGGCACATAGACTAAACGAACAATTTTGCTTCGAATCCAGACGACGCAGATAGTCTCTTTGAGTAATGCGTTAGATTAGTGTTTAAGAAATACCGTCTTCATCAGTTGACGTATATAAATGTGAGTTAAGGCGTATATTCGAAACGATATAGCAATGTTTTCTTGTGCCGGCCATCTTTTGTCCCCTCTCTTATGATACTATACGAATAGTAAGTACTTCATAAATCAGCAACTAGGCAATGCTAATCTTGGCTTCTATCTAATGTGGATAAATCCAGGCCATACTTTGGCAAAACGTCGGAACCAAATCATCTCACCAGCTTCCTTTGTAGTTACTGACACCACCGGGCTGATCTTTCCGAACCCACCGCCCAAGCCGTCGCTGTTCGGATTCGTGTACGCCTGAACTGCCAAGGCGGTAGTTGTGTAGGGCTGAAGTCCGTCAAGAACATAACTGAGGGCGCCAGGCCCGGTTTCGTAGGAAAGATTTTGCGAGCCCTCATAAACCACTACCCGATACTTGCTTATATCTCCATTTGGAGTGAGAGGGGCTTTCCAGTCGATCTTCACGGCAGTCGAGCTGACGGCAGTCACGGCTATCTCGGTCGGTTCTGTGGGAACTTATATGTAGAAAGGTGCAAAACAGGCATTACTTAGTGAAACAACTGTAGCATGACTGTATACGCAGTTGCGTGCAACATACCATCGGGCCATGTCTTCGGAGATCGTTCGAAGGACGGCTGACTGTATCCACCACCCAGATTCTGCTCAATTGGCAGAACAAAGACCTCCACGGTGCATCTGTACCTTGTGTTTGGAATCAACCCAGAGAGTTTTGCGCTGAGTGTGTCATTTGATACTTGGACCGATTTCACATTGTCCTTTTGACCTTCCTGACCGCAATTGACGCGGTAGTGTCCGAGAATTCCGTAAACGTTGTTTACTTTCCACCACTCCAGAAACACAGAGTCTGGTCCGACTGCAGTAGCGTTTTTGATGATCGGCTGTTCAGTGACTAGGAGCAGTAAGATTAGTGTATCGAAAACATTTCCTCAAAGCAATCGAGTTAATGCTTATTTCCATATCACGGACTGCATATGATTGCACGTTAAACGGCTGACAACAGGATATTCCTTGACTCCTTTCGGAGTCCATGAAAATCGACGCTGCCCACTACCATTTTAAAGAGGTTCATATGTGTCAGTGCTGTGGGTCCACATGAAATTTTTATCTTGAACATTCACATGAAATATTATCTTTGTTAGCCATACGCACTCTGTCATATTCGTTGTCAACCAGGTAACTGAGCGTTGGCTTATGAGCTTACGGTATGATACCCCTTAACAGAAATATCTTAAGTCACCATGTAGAAGCATCTGCTGGGTTAAAACTTAATCATAGTGCTGCGTGGAGGGTAGGAAGTCGCCACTTAAGTCCGAAAAAGAGAAACTTATGGGGACTTTAACGTCGTGTGCAATCGATTTACTATCTTTATCTAGAAATTCCACGGCACCAAATCTGAAAACGCCTGTATCCGTATCGCATAGTGAAAGGGTCACTGCGTTTGCTGCCCAGTCACATGGGCAATACAGTCGAACCTTGTAAATTCTAGTTGATGTAACGGCATTTAACTGAGGAGATACCGTCCATTCGCGGCATTAATAGGTTGTCGACGAATAACATATTTACAAAATTCGTTATGGCAGGTAATGAGCACACTGCAAGGATGCTTACTTCCTGGCCAAGTCCTGAGGAGAGATGATCTTGCCGAGGCGGACTTTCCACCTCCCTGGCCCCATCTAATTTCCTTCGTAGAGGCGATCACAGCACACTCGAATAAGGTGTTTGCGCGAAGACCGGTAATTTCAACGGAGAGCGTGTTAGCACTTACACGTTGGCTACCTTCGGGATAGGAGTCGCCTGGTCGATAGCATTCCGCACTGTAACCTTCCAAAATGCCATTACTGATCTCTGGTGCAGTCCAAGAGAGTGCAATCGTTTGGGATCCAGAAGCGAGGGCGGATGTGAGATTTGGTGAGGAGGGGGCTGTTTTAGGGGTAAAGAGTGCATAAATCTTGAGTACAAATAAATGGGAATTATATCTTCAACGATGGTTAGAAACATTGGAACGAGCATTAAGGGCCTACTTTTGTCAAAATGCACCATTTCTTCACTGCAGATTGAAAAAGCAGAAATGGTCTCGCCGTCGACTTTCAGTCAAACGTTCAATAAAAGGACACTAAAGTCAGCTAAACTGACCACAGTATATGGTGATTGGGCGTATTATTCATTTAGCTATCGTTACCGGGAAATAGAATGTGGATACTCGTGTCGGTCTTTTGATGAATCGTTCTAGCTGTTTAGTCCAGTTTAGGTATAACTGTTTTCTGACGTAAATATGCTTAGGCGTATTATGCACTCACATGTCAAGAATCTCAGATAAGCCAACCAGCCAATTCTTTCAGGTGAGGCAGCCAATTTCAAAGCCCGCATCTTTACTATTTCTCTCCTAATCGATTCGGCAGTGTTGCCGAAGTCACATCAGTTGGCAAAACAAACAGTTGATCACATTTGTTTTCTTTCCATGGCAAGAAATAGGAGCGATGTATGAAAGATTGGGTGTAAGTCAATACCTGCAGACCACGTGAGCACGACACCCGCATTTCTGGTTGCGTTGGAGTCGGAGTACAGAGAGATGACGGAGGTGGAGTAGTTCGTAAAGGGCTTCAGATTCGTCAGGCGACCCTTTCTTTCCTTTGGGTCAATCTCCACGCTTGCCTCACCACTACCATTGACGCCTCGCAGTAGAAACGCCTTCAGACCGTCAGAAGGGTAGACTATTTTGCCCCATTCAAACTCTATAACGGTGGCCGAGACAGCGGTAGCTTTGGCGGATGCGACGCTGCGGGGGTCTGTGATAGAGAGGGTGTCAAACTGAATAATAGATTATTTTCCCATTTAACAAAAAATAATCTATTATTTGGTTTCCTTCCGGTTTATACTGGTACAAAACTATTAGATTGAATGTATCGAGTTCTGCATTTATTTCCTGGAAGTATTTCCTTTCATAAGTATTCCGATGCATGGTGATTTCAGAGAGAAAA